GGAGCCGCCAGGCCGCAGACGTGGCCCTTCACGAGCACCAGCGGCCTCGTGCACCGAGGGCACCTTCCCGAGCTCAGCGCTCCGCAGCTCCGGCGTGTTTTCCCAGGTTGAATCCTCTGTTGCAATTCTCAGCCTGTGTGGGAAAAAAAGAAAGCCACATAGAACACATGATTTTCCGTGACAGTTGGAAGGCAAACTGCTATGGTAAAGCTACGTGATGCATCTACTCACAGCACGTGTTCCCCTACTAAAATAAAACCAAAACCACAAAAGCAAAAAAAAAAATGGTTACTATTTTCAATAGACGAGAGCACACAACACAGTGAAGGCCAGAAAAAAAATACTATGCTGGACATCCTCATTGTAAGCGCCTTTTTGTACAGAATGGCATGCAGAAAAAGCAGTGCAACCTTAACAGAGAAAGCTCAAGTTTTAAACAAAATCCTCCACAGAAGCATGTGAGTCGGGGTGGTTCATGTGCGACTGTGATGGCCCCATCGTACCCAGCTTCTCCCACCGTTCTCGGTCTGGGATTCCCGTCTGAACCCCCGGCTGGCAGAGGGGCGAGCGCAGAGCGCGGCTGCCCTGGGCCGCCCTGCGCAACCCCGGCGCTCACAGCAGCGCTCCGGCTCTGCTCCTTGCGCTCGTTGCTGCCTGTGAACACATGAACCCCTTGGAACCCGGTCAGCGGGGGCCTCCGCGGTCGACAAGCGCCTATGGCACCGGCCCTGCGAGGAAACGTACAGCGGAGACCCTTATAGCGGCAAGTAATGCACCTAATTACCATATCCTTAGAATAGATGTAATATAAATTTCATTACTCACTTAAAAGTTCTAAAGTTAACAGCATAAACTTGAAGTTGAGTAATTAAGTAATCCTTATATAGACACTTATTAAAGTATTTATACATATTATCTTAAATCTACATCTATCATTTTGCCAATTAAAATTAGGACTTTAATTGCAATTAAGTAATTTAATTGCCAATTGAACAGCAAAATTGCTAAGTGACTAATTTTAATGCCTATTTTAATTACCAATCATGACTGGGGAGGGAGCTAATCAAGCAGTATCAGAGTAATGATGTGAAAAAAAATGGAGAACAAACATTCAAGACTACATGCTTTTAAAAAAGAACTCCAAATTAAATAAATGCAAACACAATTTTACACATGTGGTGAAATGCTGTATTTTGGTATCTAAATACATGAGCACAAAGAACACATTTAATTAAAAAGAACTGTCACTCTCCCACTGATGTATTAAATATGAAGTGTCCTTTATACTTTATTTACATATTAGTCTCACTTTAAAAGTAAGCCCCAAACTGGGTATGAATGTGAGACTGGAGCAAGTGAATGAATAACTTGACAGGCTGAGCTGCCATGGAGCTGCGATACTCAAATATATATATATATATATAGACACTCAGTGAGTGTGAGGCGGGATAATAACCCCCCGCAGCACGTTACGCACAGGCACACCGCAGTCCTAATGAGCCGGGTGCGTATGTTCAGTACGGAGCCCCCGGCACCCCGGAGCTGGGGTTACTGCCCGCGGTAGCAGCCCCATCTCCGCAAGACGGCACTGCGGCTCATGGGAGGCCCCAGGCCCCGCACGCCACGGGGCCGCTGCTGCAGCGGGCGCGGGGCAGTGACACCTGCGCCAGGGAACATCCAAGATGCTTTATTTGTTCTCCAGTTGCCATCTGGGGCGACCAGCAGCGTCCCCAGGGGTGCCTGAGGGAAGGAGGCAGCGAGCAGCCCCAGCGCCTGCCTCCAGCTCCAGCTCCACAGGGAGAGCAGGAGAAGGGGGGCTGCTGTTGGGCTCGCACTGAGGGGTTGGGCCGGGCCTCACGCCGCCCCTTGACCCAGTTCTGGCCCCTGACCCAGGCCCGACCCGGCTCCTGTCCCAACCCCTGACCCTGGCGGTGCACCGCAGGTGGCAGCTCTGCTGTGCGCGTATGCACCTCCTCGTGCACCACGGCACGGCGCCATGAATTGCTGGGCGTCACTGCATCACCATGCATCGCTGGGCATCACCATGCATCAATGGGCTTCACTATGTGCATCACTGTGCATTTCTGGACATTGCTGGGCATCACTATGCATCAATGGGCATTGCTGTGTGTATCACCATGCATCACTGGATATCACTGTGCATCACCGTGCATTGTTGTGCATCACTGTGCGTCGCTGTGCATCACCATGCATCACTGTGTGCATCGCTGTGCATCACCATGGATCACTGCGTGCATCACTGTTCACCACCGTACATTACTGTGCATCACTGTGCATTGCTGTGCATCACTGTGCATTGCTGGGCATCACCGTGCATCACTATGTGCATCGCTGTGCATCACTGTGCACTGCTGTGCATCACCGTGCATCACTGTGTGCATTGCTGTTCACCACCATGCATTGCTATGCATCACCATGCATTGCTGTGCATCACCGTGCATCACTGTGTGCATTGCTGTGCATTACCGTGCACTGCCAGGTATCACCGTGCACTGCTGTGCATCACCGTGCATCGCTGTGCATCACTGTGTGCACCGCTGTACCTCACCGTGCACTGCTGTGCATCACCATGCACTGCTGTGCATCGCTGTGCATCACCATGCATCACTGCATGCATTGCTGTGCATCACCGCCTTGCTGTGCATCACTGCGTGCACCGCTGTGCATCACTGTGCACTGCTGTCCATCACCATGCATCACTGCGTGCACCGCTGTGCATCACCGTGCGTTGCTGCACCACAGGTAATTCAGGGTGGAAGTTCTCCCTCTCCTCGCACGTGAAACGCCTCCCGTGCGGCTGAGGCTGCTGGAGCGCTGGCTCCGGGGAGGGCGGGAGGTCCGGGCGCCTCTCCCGGCGCGACGCGGCCCGGCCTGCGCGGCCCAGCGCCGGTGAGCCGCTGACACGAGCGCTCCCGGAGAGCAGAACTGCACGCTTCCCTTCCTGGATTTGGGGTATTAATTGGCAAAACACATAGAAATCTGACCATAACTTCTCCAAGTGAAGTATCGTTCGTTTTTGATCGCATCTCTCAGCCGGTCAGTGATCCTTCCCCGCCACAGAGACCTCGGCTATATCCCGTGGAAGCATCTGTGTGCCTGCTAGAAAGCAAAGGCTCCCCAGTGCTGGTGAAGGGGAAAACGGGAGCTCTGTCCCAGTGACCTGGTCGTGCTGCTTTCCCTTCGGCACAGCCCTGCCAGGGGCTTTTCTTCCCCTTTTTTTTTTCCTCTCCCTGTGTTCTTTTTTATTTTTCCCCCTTTTTCTTTCCTCTCCTTTTTTCTTTTCTCCCATTTTTTCTTTTTTCTTTTCCCAATGTGTTTTTCCGTGGCTAAGCCCGCAGAGCACAGCGCGAGGTCACCAGGGGTTTTGCCCCACGAGCAAGGGGCGAGCACACGGGACCCCAGGCAGGAGGACGCCCGGGCTGGCCGAGTTGGCAGTCAGGTTATCTCTGTGCCCCCGCT